GTTTCTGTGATGACTGCCCTTGCACTGTTCACCATGTAAGAACTTATTCACTATGTAAGAATTTGTTCACCATGTAAGAACTTGTTCGTTGTGCTTCAGAAGATTGGAGACTGACAAGAATTAGGCTTCGGGTGGATTAATGATTGTGCATTGAGCATTGAGTCCCCTATTCAGAGTTTTATTGTTGTTAACAGCTATTTGATCAATAAAAATGAGAGATGCCCTCTCAAAAAAAAAAAAAGAACTGTATCAAAACCCATGCTGTCTATATTAATCAAACTAATCATTAATTCCCAGATAAGTTTTTCTAAGAATCATCAGCTATTTTAGAAAAAAAAAACAGAACATTATGAGAAAGAAGAACCAAAATTAAGAGAAGAGGAAAAAAGAATTCTGGAAAGCAGAACAGAACTTCAGGAGTCAAAACACAAACTTCTTGGAAATTAAAAATTACTGAAATAAAAAACATTGAATGGATAGGATAAATAACAGAATGTGAACAGGTAAAATCAAAATGATCAGGAAGTTAAGATTAAGGAAATGTCTCTGAATATGTAGCTGAACGGAGGTGGTGGAAAATATGAGAGGCAAGTTAAGAGACATGGAGAATAGGCACAGAAAATGTCTGACAGAGCGAAAAACAGTGTGGCATACGCTACTGGTTAAATCCAGTCCCCTCCTTTTCCTCACCAAAAGAATCTTAGTCTTGTTTAGAGAGGCAATGTGTCCTACTTAAAAACTACACTTTCCAGTCTTCCTTATAAAAGGGGTAGTTGATGTATAAGTGACGCCTGTTGGAGATTTCTGGGAAGGTTGTACCATCCTGATATAGGCTATGTCTTTTCTCTCTGTTGCTAGAATGATGGTGTGATGTTAGAGCTGCAGCAAATATCTTGTAACCATGAAGAAAAAACTGCAGCCTTGACATCGCTGGACTATCAAATCAATGTTGGCAACTACTTACCTGGACTTCCTGTCCCATGAGCAAAAAGTAAATCCTTAATTTGCAAAGCCAACGTTTAGTCAAATTTTTTGTTGTAGTTAATCACAATCCATAACTGACACAGAGAAAAATAAACAAAGAACTACTCAAAGAAAATGTCCCTGAGCCAAGGAAAAGCAAAGGTCTTCAGAGTGAAAGAGCCAACTGAGTGTTCCACAGTCAAGGGGAAAATAAAAAGAAACACATCTAGACAACTATGACTGACATTTCAGAATTCCAGTGATAACTGGATAACTCAAAGCTTCTAGAGCACAAAGTGGGTTTATCAACAAGAATCGGACTGGCTACAGACTGCTGTGATTGCCAGAAACAGCAATGTCTAATAAGTTAGAAGGATACGTGACTTTTTTTATATCTCATATCTACCCAAATCATCAATCAAGTCTGAGGATAAAATAAAAACATCCCTGGCATGTAAGAATTCAGCAATAACAAAAAAAAACATATGATAAATGGAAGCATTAGCATATTACTAATAACAAAGAACTTTAATTTCCCTACATACCCAGTCTTTCTGGTTAAGTTTAGCTGCTTCATTATATACTTCAATGGCAGCTTTATGTTTTCCCAAAAGAAATCTGTGAAAGAAATATATTTTCTATAATTAACTCAAAGCTTTTACAAGACTAACCCCACTAGTCCTGCATTTGACTCAGATTCCATCCAGCAGAGAAGTCTGGAAGCCTCTTAAGCTTTCTTGGTAGGGACTGCACTGGTAGTTATTCTGGGGCATTGGTCCCATTCTACACCATCTTCTAAATTTTTTTTCCACAGCATGTAGACCAAAGAAGAAAGAAGTGAAATAATATGCCAGTTAAGCAAAAGCTACCATCATTTATCATCAGCATCCATTAGGGACATGCCCTTCCCTCCCAAGCCTGAGTCTGTTTTCTAGATACTGAATAATAATTCTGGAGAGACAGGGGAAAACCCGGCTCCACTTAAACCAGTACAGGCATGAATGACAACGTAGTTAAGAAAGTGGGGACAGGAACAGCATGGAACACTTTAATACTCTGGAGTATCAAATACAAAGGTATTAGTGTACATGACAGCTTATAAAGACTTCAGAGGTTGCTTGCATCTAGGAGCCTTCAAGGCATTTGCTCAATCTACTGTGTGTCAAGTATGCTAAGTGTTGAAACAGTAGATAAAAAAAATCCCATGGGTTGCCACTAAGATTAGGGATGAGGTCAGAAGTCACAATTTATATGATAAACATCAGTGTTCATCATCAAACCAGAATGTACAATGTTTGACATTGTATATTTACAGTTCCTTTATACTAGTTTTCTCATTTTTTCAAATTTCAAAAGTAATTCACGTTCTTTAAAGTGAATTATACCTGCTAAGCAACTTTCCCTCTATGTATCAGGCTGATCAGGCTGCCAGAGCAGCTTCTGCTTGAGAAAACACTTTACATGGTTTTCGGTGAGTGCCCAAGCGCCTCCAGGCTGCCAATACTCACAAAGATCTGGCCACCTGCTTGAGGTTATCAGCACACTGAGGGCTCAGAACAGCGCATGTCTGAAAGAGTTCTAGTGATTCTTGGATATTTCCTTCCAGGCGAAATATCAGTGCTGCCAAGAAAAAGAAAATACAGAAAATAAAATCGTGTTCTGGGAAGAATGGAATGGAGCCTGGTATCAAAAAACTTAGAAAAGAGGGAAATTCTTTGGACAGTTGTTATCTTTAATACAGTCAGATATAATTTCAGATGGTCTAAAACAAGTAGCAAAGCTGTTAACAAGCTAAAATCTTTCCTAATAAGGTAACTCAAACCCACTTACTTCTCCACTCCCAGCATCCACCACATAATCAGATGCCTTGTAAATTATTCCATAAACTCATCATAATAAGAACATTCTTGGACTTCCCCATGAGATGCTCTATTTATTATGATAATTCTGACTTTCACCTGGTAAGTTTTCAAAGTGTATACTCAAATGGGGCAAGTGCAATCAATAACCTAAGTCCAACAAGAATATTCTGCCAAAGAATACAGTAATGTTTCAGACTTAGTTTTCAGTATACAATCAATCAGAATCAATAATTTTCCCTAGGCCTAAGTTTTCAGAAAAATTTACACACTTAAGTATTAGCACTGAATGTCTGGAACTTGTGATATTTAGAATAGAGCATTTTTTTGCCATGATATCCTAGACGTGTCAACATCTTGCCAATTATGTCAGAAAATTCTATATTAATCTTAAGACTACAAATGAATGGTAACAAAGCCATTCATTTACAACAAAGAGTCAAAAAGAAAGCCCCTGGAAAATCTAAGAATGCTACTTTTGGCACTAATGAGTAAAATTTCAGTCATTATTTCAGTTCCTATATTTGGTTTCTGTTGAATTTCACTTATTATCTGCTTTTTTGTCTAGGCTTCTTTCCTTCATCCTGGCTCACCTTACAAGAAATAAGGTAAGCCTTTTCTCATCTCTTTGAGCCTGAATACCAGGAACCCTTCCAAAAACCTCTTCTAGGCCTAAACTGCTGCATGAGGCAGGGACCCTAACATTCATTCTAGAAAACACTAGCCAGAAACTAGAAAAAGGGTGAAGGAATGTACAAATTTTTTTTTTAACAGAACAAGTCATTTCTGAGGTCAAATCCAGCATAAGAATTATGGGCCAATCTCAAAAAAACAGTAATATTGAGTAAGACCTTTGTGGAACATCTACTTAAATTTAAGTATTTCCTAAGTTGTTTCACTCTTTTACCAGAACCTAAGTAAACAGTTCAATCCTCTAACAAGAACAGAAGAAATACATGTCTTACCTTGGACATAAATAGCATATTCACATAACCCCTGAGTCTCCTGAAGCTGTTCTCTGATAACAGCCTGAAAAAGAAGAATACTTGTGAGTAGTGGAGAAGTGTCTTAAAGTGTTTTTAAGAATAGGTAGACACAGACAAGGAGCATATTTTAAGAAATGTGGGATACTCATAATTACTAATGAAGCAATTATTTGGAATTTTTTTAAATCTCAGCTCTCTTGTTATGATTATTTATTCCAGAACAGGGGTCAGCAAACTAGAGGCCACATGCCAAATCTGACCTACATAGCCTATTTCTGTACAGCTCTCAGGCTAAGAGCAGTTTTACATTTTTAAAGAGTTATTTAAAAAATAAGAGAAGATGAAGAATATGAGACAGAGACTATATGTGGCCTAAGATACTTACTATCTGGCCCCATACAGGAAAAAGTTTGCCATTCCCTATCTAGGATATAACTGGGTAAGCTAAGAAAAATAAGAAAAGATTTCCAAGCACCATTATAGATGCTAGGGGCTCTCTGACGAGCAAAATACAGGCTCTGTCTTTCCACTCTGATGGGCTGAGCCTAGGGTGCTACATAGGAGACCAGAGTGTAAGGGAAGGCTTGTCAGAGTAAACAGTTTCAAATCCTGTGCTGGCAGCGGGTAGAGAAGCTGAGGTGGTGAGGAGAGTCAGAAAGAGAAGGGCTTTGAATGCCATGCTAAAAAGATTGAGAGCAATGGGAAAATTTGGGCAGTTTGACATGGGAAGTAAACTAATTATATTTGATCTACAGAAAAATCATTTTTGGAGCACTGTTGAAAACAGGTGGAAAGGAGACAAGATTAGAGAGGCAATGTTTAAGAACTCTAAGAATTCTTGTGGTAACTTAAATAAAAATGATGGGGACATGGAGAGGGGAAAAGGTGGACAATTTCAAGAGATATTAAGAGAAGCATCTCCAGAACCTGATGACTATCTATACTGTATTAGGGAAAGTGAGTCAGGGTATTCTGACACAGACAGCTGGGTGAAGGATGGTACCTGTCCCCAAGACAGGGGAACAGAAGGGATGGGTTTGAAAGGAAGCAGATAAATTCAGTTACAGAAAAGGTGAATTTGAAATGCCTATGAAACATTCAGTAGGTATCAGAGTAGTCTAAAGTTCAGGAGGAAGTATATGGAATGAAGAGAGAAGGAAGGGATCAAGGATAGGACCTAGGAATAGCCCCAACTCTTAAGAAATAAGCATAACAAGAGAAGCCAAAAAAAGGAAACAGAGAAAGTGGTCAAAAAAGGAAAAGGGAAACAACAAAAGGACAATATCACAGAAGAAAAGAAAGAAACGAATCAAGATTCGTATTTGTACTAAACATTGCTAGTTCTATGCATTGCCATAGATACAGGTGCTACAGATATAAATTTAAAAATACAACCTTAGAAGCATTACAAAGCTCCGTATGCCAAAAAAGACAATACCAAGGATATATGTTGTATACTAATACTGATGTTTGCCAGCAAGAATTATATATATGTATATATGACATATATATATATGTAGTATAGTACAGTATATACAGTTTATACTATAGTATGTAGTATATAATATACTGTATGTTACCAAAGATACAGACATTTAGAAAAAAAGAAATACAAATGGTTTTAAATATACAAAGATGAGCAAGTTCACCATAGTAAGAGAATTATAAAACTCAGAGAAATACCATTTTTCACCTATTCAGGGATCAAAAAATTAAGTACTATGCTGTGTTGAACATCCGCCCTCCACTACTGCACCAAGCCCCAGAGAGGGGCTACCCCATCAGCCTGGTCTTGAAATGAGAAGACACATGGAACACACCTGAACATGACCCATGACTTTTAGTGAACCCAGCTAGCCCACAGCCAATCTGAAAGCCCCTGAGCAATAAATAAATGTGTGTTGTTGGAGGCCACTGAAACATGGGGTTGTTTTTTTTTTTTGAGCAGCATTATCATAGCAAAAGCTAATCAATATATAAACTGTAGGGAGAGAGGAATTCACACATTATTAGTGGGATATAAACTGCCACAAACTCCACGCGGCAGACACTGTTAGCCACCCAATCCAACCAGCCCCGCGTTTTCTCTGTCATCGCGACCTCTCACCTTGCATGCTTCATAATCCTTACGGATATAGTGGAGATGTATCAGCCAGTTCTGCTTCTCCAAAATAGGGAACTCTGGAGCTGGTAGCATATTTTAACAAAATAAATGACAGTCATTGTTAGATTTTTCTCCTTTAGCATTGTCCTCATGTCTAAACTGACCACAGCACATTGCAGTCATCACATTGAATTCCTCATGCTGCCAACCCTAAGAATATAGTGCATCAAAAGTCACAGATTAAACCAAGAGAGATTTGTCCTGTATCAAACACCGAATATATGCTTCTCTTCAGTTTTTTGTGGCTTATAATGTCAGTGTCTCAAATGCTAACTTAGCCTGAAAAAAAAAAAATCATTCTGTCTCCTCCCTCTCCCCACGGCCCTGGTTTATGGAAGGTGAACAAGAAGACTTTGTAAGGAATATTTCAGGAATGTTCTAAAAAAAAAATAAACACACACACACGTTTTATTTATAAATATAGTGTATCACATCGGATAGAGAACCACAAATAGTTAAATACAGTCTTAGAGATAGCTCAAATGTAAAAAATACTATACTATTGCCCAGCAATTTTAAAAAATCTATGAGTCATTGAAAATGATAAACTATAAAATGAATTACTACCTCTTTGAATGCAAAAGTTTAAAATACAGGTAAAAATTCATTATGGAATTACTTTTTCATGGAAACAAGGAGGAGAAGGATTCACATCAACCTCAGAACAGTGGTGATCCCACGGAAGACAGATGGAGCAACGGGAATAGGAAAAGACAAAAAGGAGACTTCAGCTCTTTAATGCTTTATTTCTCAAAAAAAAAAGTTCTAAAGTATACATGGCTGAATTGTTTTATTAAATTTGGCCAGTGAGTACATCAATGTTTGTATTTTTAATGCACTTTAAGACATGCTTAAGATATCCCCTGATTTTTGAAAATGTAAAAGAAAGGGTACAGCAAGGAAAGAGAGGGAAATGACTTGTATTCATTTGTAAACACTCCATTCCAGAACCTTAGGAGATACAGCAACAGAAAACCTAAGACTTTTATGTCCACAATATGACAGGACAGAAAAGCTGGAGCCCATAATTAATGTTGCCAGAGCACAAAAATTAAGAAATAATGCTTCCTTTTCCTCCCCAAGAATAGGAAACATGAATGCAATTTATAAGATAAAATTATGACAGAAAATATGGATATGATTTTATATGCCACATGAAAAAACAAAAAAAAAGATGAGGTGTTCAGCAACTGGCTCTTTATCTTCCAATTACCTACATTCTCGGCACAGGACCACCCCTCTTCTATTCAGCACGGGCCTATCTGAAATTCTTTGGTGACCTTTGTTTTCTTCCTTCTCTTCCCCAAGCCCCATCAATCATCAGATCTTGGCCATTCATTTTCTGTCTAACCACTTCCAGAAGTAAAATTCCTACAAAAGGCCATACAAATCACCGAGTTTAAGGGCTTGTATGTGTGTGTGTACATGCAGATACAAGTGTGAAAATAAATACACCAAGATGAATAGTTCTGGGACAGGTGGCTTACTGAGAAATCTTTGACCAAGTCTCAGTTGCATGGCCTCTCCCTCTGTCACCTACCCTCTAAGAAGAAAGAGTAAAAGTGAAGGAGACACTGAACCCTTTGGATTTACAATATCACTAAACATCATTGCTTCTATAGCCTAAAAGATTATAAAATGCAAATTTGAGTCTTGCCTATTACTAAAATTTCACAATAGAAGAGGAGTGATTTTTTGCATTCCCTAGGAGAAGAATGGAGAAAAACAATGTTCAACTTGTAAAGTAGCTCAATTGCCCAGAGGCTCATGAAATGGAGCCTCTGGATTAGAAGGAAGGTACCACAAACCCAAATGCTTAAACGTCATTTCACATTCCTGGAGATATAGTTCATCTAAAAGCTATAAGAACGGTAGAATCATCAAAGACTTTAGAAATCATTTCAGGGTTCCATAATCATCCTATTACCAACTGTGTGATCTAAATTTACTGTTTCCTCATCTATAAAATAGAGGCTCATTCATTCATTCATGCATTCAACAAATATTCACAGAGTACCTATCATGTGCCGGGGACTGTTCTAGGCCCTAGGGATATGGGGGACAGTGAGAATGGAGAGTACTAGCACAAGGAATAAGTGATAATCAAACAAGTTATATATACTTATGAGCAACATTTTTCTATGGAAAAAAGCAGGGAAGAGGGACAGGTAGTACAGGGCAAGGGATTACATTTTTAAATAGGAAGCTAAGGGAATAGAGTATTGTCACAGAGTTGTGAAGATCAATGACAACATATATAAAGAGGTTCAAATAGTGTCTGGTACATAGTAAGGCCAAAAGAAGCATTTAGCTATTGCTGTTATTTTTATTATCATTATTAATTTTTAAAGATGAAGGAATTCTGAATGCCTCAGAAAACCCTAGTTTATGAAGCCTGAATTTAGAATTTGATCTGTAAATGTGTAAGTCGAATTTCTTATATTCCAAATCATTGCTCACTCCAATTCCCCTTACAGACAGGGATACTGGTTCTTATATGCTTTCACAAGTATTATGAGAATTACCTATTTGAAAGATCCTCTAAAAAAGATAGCATGTAAGTGCAAAGTAAAGTCCTCCATTCTACAGCAGAGCATGGTGGTCCTCACCAAAGCGACACCTTATAAGCCTGTATTACCACAGAGGTCAGGTGGCCTGCTCATGAGAAAGGCAAAGTAATGCCTTTCAGCTGACTGTAAAAAAGACCTTGCTCCCACACTGCCCCCCATCACCTCACCCCCCCCCCACCATCATCGGTGAAGACAAGGTAAAGCCTTTCAGCGGATGTATGACCACCTTATTCCTATCCCAGCTCGCACACTGTCCCTCTACCATCATGGAGGCAGTAGGGGTGGAAGGCTGGCAAACTGGCAACAATACCCCCTTGGTCCTTCTCTTCTCGTGCCCCCATTCCACTCTTTTGTGACATCTATTCTCCTCCTTTCCTCCTCTAAGGATATGACAGACTTACACCTTAAACAATTCCATGACCAAAGAAACATTCATCCTAGGTGCCAAGTGTCCTTGGAATAGCCCTGACTCAAACCTTTACATTAAACTTTGATTAAGTCATGGAATAGCAAGCTGGATATATGAAGGCTAAGTAGAAAATTATTATGCTTTGAGTTTTCAGTTGAAAAATTTTCTAAAATGACTAAGGCTTTTGTAAGCACATTATAAATGAACACTCTGATAAAGGATCTCTTCCAGGACTAGCAGATGTGCAGCACACAGACTTTTTGTATGGAGACTTCTAGTTTTGATTCGGTACTAGCCTTCTATGGGACCTAGAGCAAGTTATTCAACTTCTCTGGGCTTCCATTTTCCCCCTATAATTTCCACTAGAAAACTGTGGGAAAAAAGGAAGTGATCATTCAATAAATGTTAATTTCCTCAAGTTTTAAGAAAAATTATAATACTTTTCTACCTTGATATATTACTTGGGACATCAAAGGATATATCTTGAAAAGAATGTAAATATAAGACAATTTTATTACTACCAATTTCAGCTCTGTATTAGTCGGGGTGTAATGAGGAAACACGGAAACCACCTGAAGATCTAAAACCGAGGGAGTTTGATGCAGTGAACAGGTCACGGACGAAATGAGAGAGGCTCAACACAGGAAAATCAGAGGTTAGCTTGGGAGCAAAAAGCCACTACCACCTCCAGGCTACAGGAAAAAGGAAAAAAGGTCTTGCTACCAGTATCCAAGGCTGGAGTCACCTGGAGGAAGCTGAAAACAAGACGCGCCGACTGGCGGAAGCAACAGATGAGATGCTTCCACGGACCACTAGTCTTCCAATTTCCCAAGCAGAGAGAGTGAGGGGCTAGCCCTGCTCCCCCTCCCTTCTGCCCGCCCATCTCCTGCCAGGTCCCCCAACTTCCTAATCCAGCCAGAACCTGCTGACCCAGGAGCCTGGGAAGGAAGGAAGCCTGCCAGGGTCAGCTCCTCACAATGCACAGCAGAGAAGGAAGGGTGAGAACTGGATCTGCGGGCAAAAGGTCCAGGATCAGCAGAAATACCATCTCTGCTCAGGTACAGAAATGATGATGGAGGAAGAGGAGACAACTGAATCAGTACTCACCCAAGGACATATGCTAGAAAATGGCTTTTATTATTATTATTATTATTATTAAATTATTTGCTATTCAACTTGTTTGCTTCTTATGAGCTTGCAGTGGGATGAGGAAGAAAGAAGTCATGAAAAAAGATCAATTATAGTTTCACTATATATTCTAGAGTATTTAAAATTATTTTACTTACTAATATTGAAACTTAATACTTAATTACATTTTATTCTTTTTAGGGGTACCTAGGTATATGTGTGTATTCCCCATATGTATTTTTATATATATAATTTCACATTTATTTATATATGATTACCTAGATGATATAAATGTATATAATATGTAATTTATTTATATATATATATATTTGATATGTATCTATATTATACCACTGAATGTTCCATGAGGCTAGTGATTCATGCAATTCAGGGACTATTCCAACATTACAGATGAGGACGTTAAGACTCCAGAGGTTAAGTAATCTGCCCACATTCAATAGCCAATTAATGGAAGAGGCAAGACTATAATCCGCATCTCCAAGGTTCTTCATTAAACTACAGCAAGTTTCTGCCAGTTGTGAAGAACTTTCCAATTTTCAAACTTAAGTGTTTGGGCTGTCAACTAGACATAACTTAGCAACAGAAAATTAATACTGATTTTCAAGTTTTTCTATTATTAAAAATAAAAGGAGAGAAGGACTTTCAATATGTTAAAGTAGCAAGATTTACAAATTAAAAGAAAATAATTCATTGGGTTTTTTAAAATACATATTTACAGTAAAACAAAATTGAAAGGGTACAGAGAGTATTAAGTAAAAGACCCTCTAAAGTCCTCCTTTTCATTAGAGGTAAATAATTTCTTGAATATTTTCTAAGGAATTTGGTGGTTACATCATGTATATAAGTATTTGGCCAAATGTACATGTGTACACGTATACAAAGTAGATTATATTAAATATATTTGGAAACTGTTTGCTTATATCTACTGAAGCTAAATATATCCTTCCTGGTGACCCAGCAATCCTGCTCCTAGGTACATATGTGTACCCAAAAACCAAGTACAAGACTTCATGGTGGCATTATGCATAACATCTCAAAATTAAAGTAACTCAAATATAGCATCTCAAAATGAAAGTGTCCCAAATATTCATCAAAAGTAAATTAAGTAAATTAGGGTATAGCTGCACAAAGGAATACTATATAACAATGAAAAATACCAAAAGATATTAAGAACTACATACTGAACTATTCCATTTCTATTAGGTTCAGAAGAAGGCAAAATGGGCCTACATGATGTAAGTTAGATACAAGTAACCACCTTTGGAAAGAGTGGTTAATGACTGGAGAGGACAGGAGGAAGGCTTCTGGTATGCTGATGGTGTTCTGCATCTTAAACACGATGATGATTATATGAACATGTTCCCTTCGTAAAAATGTACTGAGCTGTATAATTATGATTTATGCACTTTTCTGCATGTATGCTCCATGTCAGGTAAGAAGTGTCAAGAATCAAATTAAACACCTCAGTCAAAAATTTATTTCTGCTATACCAATGCAGAAGAGGAGGGAAGAGGGCATGCAACTCAGTCTGAGAGTAAGGGCCAGATTTCCTAGACAAGACACAAAAGGCATTAACCATAAAAGAAAAATATTAATGAATCGGCCTTCACCAAAATTAAAACTTCTGATCATCAAAAGATACATTAAGAAAGTGAAAAGGTAAAGCACAGGATGGGGACAAAAATTCACAATACATATAATAGACAAAGGATTGTATCCTGAATATGTAAAGATTTCCTAAAAAATGAACAAGAAAACAATTCAATTTAAAAATAGGGAAAAGAATACTTCTTTCAGAAAAGAAATATTCAATGACCAATAAGTAAATGAAAAGGTGTTCAACATAACTAGTCATCTAAATAATGTGAATTAAAGTCACAATAAGATACTATAACATATTCACCAGTATGTCTAATATGAAAAAGACTGACAGTACCAAACATTAATAAGAGTTTACAGCCTCCAGAACTCTCATAATTGTTGCTACTAGGGTAGAACTGTACAACCACCTTGGAAAACAGTTTGAAAGTCTCTCATATGATGAAACATACACTTTACATTTGTCCCAGCAATTTCACTCCCTAGGTACTTACTATAAAGAAATGAAAACACATGCCACACACACACATGTAAATAATGTTCATATAAGCTTTTATATAATAGTGAAAAACTGGAAACAACACACATGTTCATCAACAGAAAAGCTAAACTGGCATATTCACACAATTGGATACTAGGCAGCACTTTTCAAAAATAAAAGAACAAATTAGTGATATATAATAGTAACATGTATAAATCTCAAAACATTATGTTAAATAAAATATGCCAAAAGCTAAATGGTACATTTGGTACTGTCAGTCTTTTTCATATTAGACATGCTGGTGAATATGTTATAGTACCTTATTGTGACTTAAATTCACATTATTTAGATAACTAGTTATGTTGAACATCTTTTCATTTACTTATTGGTCATTTCTTTTGTGAAAGAAGTGTTCTTTTCCCTATTTTTTTTTGCAGTGGTGAAATATTATTTTTATTAATCAAATTGACAAACTGCTTTTTAACAAATGTTAATACCCTATGTAGTAAAGGTGTGACAGAGGAATATATATACTTATACATATCAAGAAAGAGCATAAATTGGTACTTTCTGGAGTGTAATTAAGCAATCCATTTTAAAACATTTTCAGATACACATATGCTGACACAGAAATTTTCAAAGTTTATCTCAGAGAAATAATCATGGATATCCCAAAAGATTTTGCCACATGGAATATCTATAATGGAAAAATTAAAACAGCATGTATTTTTCCAATTGGTTAAACCAAAAGACATGCATAACATGGAGTGCTGTGCAGCCATTAGAAATGACATAAAGGAAGAATACTTTCAGAAGAGGGAAAATATTTTCATTATATTAAGTAGGAAAAAGTGGGTTCTAAAACAGCCTGTGAAATGGGATTAGTCAAAGCTAATTTGACAATTGAAGTGATTACCACTTAAGCCTGCCTCAGGAGCTTTCTCTCTAAACTTTAGCTTTCACATTTCTCCCAGGTCTCTAGATATTTGTTGAATAACAAATGAAGCATCAGGTAAGGGGATTCCTGGAGAATTTCTTTGATTCCCCCAGGACAATTGCCTGGTGCAGTACTAAGCACAGAATCTGAGATCCTCCAAATCAGCCACAACAAAAAATCCTAAGATCGCTGCCATAATTTTCATGCCAGCTGTCGCAGCCACTGATCATATTAAAGCAGTCAGTTTTTACTTTCTGAGTATCTACCCTGGTCAACAACTCTGGACTGATGGGACCAATCAGGTTGGTATTAAGCCATTTGGAATGTGAACTAGGAGAACTCAGACTTTTCTGTCAAAGCCCACCACCAATTTTCTGTCCTAGACAGATAGCCTGTGTTACACTACACCAAAGTGCAGAGAGACCACACACAAGTGTGGAAGACTCAAGGGACTGAAAAACACAATTCCAGGGTTGTAAAGAAGTCAAGGATTAAGAATTTTGATGCTGTATGTGGGAGGACTTGGTGATGGGGGTATTCTAGTAAACATTACGTTCCCCATGTAATTGTAGATTAATGATACCAAAAAAAAAAAAATACTGCAGTGAGAGGGCAAGTGATCTACAAAAAAAATTGTATTAGTTGAGATATATAACATTTATTATGCACAAACATGCATATTCAACCAACATTTACTGAGCCCCTGCAGTGTATGTCAGGAATTGTGTAGGTGCTGAGGATACAGTGGTGAATGAGATGGCCCCTTATGTAGGGGATGGGAAGAAAAAAAAATAAAACTCAAAATAGAAATACCATTTGACCCAGGAATTCCACTCCTAAGAACTTACCCTAAGAATGCAGGAGCCCAGTTTGAAGAAGACATATGCGCCCCTATGTTTACTGCAGCACTGTTTACAATAGCCAAGAAATGGAAGCAACCTAAGTGTCCATCAGTAGATGAATGGATGAAGAAGATGTGGTACATATACACAATGGAATATGATTTAGCCATAAGAAGAAAACAACAACCATTTCAACAACATGGATAGAGATAGAGGGTATTATGCTCTGTGAAATAAGCCAGGCAGAAAAAGGCAAGTATCAAATGATTTTACTCATATGTGGAGTATAAAAACAAAGAAAAAAACTGAAGAAAACAGCAGCAGCATCACAGAACCCAAGAATGGACTAACAGTTACCAAAGGAAAAGAGACTGGGGAGGGTGAGCGGGAAGGGAGAGAGAAGGGGGGAAAAGGGGCATTACGATTAGCAGACATAATGTGGGGGAGGCAAGGGGAGGGCTGTACAACACAGAAAAGGCAGGTAGTGATTCTATAGCATCTTACTACGCTGATGGACAGTGACCGTAATGGGATATGTGGTGGCGACTTGATGCAGGGAGTGTGGTAACAATAATGTTACTCATGAACTGTAGATTCATGGTACCAAAAAAACAAACAAACAAACAACTCTTAGCAGACAACAGAAAAATCTATGCTTCAAAAGGATGTATATAGCCTGGTAACTGTAATACAGGTATGTAGACAATAGCTACATACCAAGACCCCAGGCAAGTCATGCCCCTTCCACTCAGCCTTAGCTTCCTCATCCAGAAAATTATAAATAATAAAAATAGATGGTCTGTTTGGTTAAATAAAAAATTTAGGTGTTTTCCAGCCCAATGAGTAGCAAGTGCACCCAGTCCATTAGACATGGGAAATTTTCCAGTATAGTTACCTACAATCTTATGCAAATTTAAGACTATATGTTAACAAATGAAGGAATCCTGTTCCTCTATATAAAATAAAAAGCTAAATTAATTAGAATATTAGATAACACATATAATATCTCTATCAGATTTTTAAATGCAGCTCTGTAAAACATAGGTACTCACTAGACAATCTTCAAGACTCAGTTTTATATGGAACTTCATAAAAGCACAGTTATTTGACATACACATAAGGATTATTTGAAGCTTGATATGTACTGTGGGAACTTTTAGTGGCTCTTCCACAAGTAGAAAATGAATACGTATTTACATAATAATAAAATTCCATTTAAATAAACACATGTACAGGTAAAATCAATCACCTAATATCTGATAAAAGCTTTATGGCAGAATATTTAGACTATTACTACTTTTCCTCAAAACTCACATTTCAAAAAGCTCTAATGCATACAAAGAATCAATAAGGCAAAGATCTGTGCTAATATATACATAAAATGAAATTGCATACAGACCTTTTTTTAGCCAGGGTTTTTGAGATTTGGCAGATGTAGGAAACTGAGTTCTCTGAAATGAAAGAAGTCTTTGTTAAGATACCACCATAAATCTTGCTAACTTAAAGCATTCAACTCATCATAAACAATAGCTCACCAATAACACAATTAATCTTTTAGCCACATACAGGTGCAAAGAATTATTTTTTATAGTGGCTAAAAAACAAATGTCAAAGTGTACTTTTGCTACCCAAACTATCAACAATGTATAATGTATATTATAATATATACTTATGTGTATTGTTAATGTGTAATTATAATGCATGATAAAATGTGCACAAATAAATGTACTAAGTTCTTAGACACTTCACATTAGTATTATACTTAATGCTATACTTCTCAGCAGCCAAACCAAAAAAGGGGTAATTTTGATAAAAGGAAGGTTATGAGGTCATCTACACAGAAATTTTCTAGTGCTCAATTCTAGGAGGCAATTTTTTTAGAGAGACATAATTTAATACAATAGAATTATGTAATACTTTCTTACACTATAACTCTGCAGAAAATCTTGAAGTGGATTTTTCTTATGTCTACCTTCTATGTTATATGACATGGTATGATATAAGCAAAATTAATGGCTGAAAATTTCTAGAAGTAATGAGACATTAATCTTTACATTTTGGATGCTCAACCAATCCTGACCAGGTTAAATGAAAACAAATCCACTCTTAGATATATCAGAGGGACTGGCACCGAAAATAGTAAGAAGTTCTTAAAAGCAACCAAAGGAAAAAAACATAAAACATTACCTACAAAAAAAGGACAATTAGACTAACAACTGACTTCACAACAATTAAAAATGGAAGTTATCACATTAAGACATTTTAAGGGAGTTGGAGGAAGATGGCAGAATAGGAGACCACTCTGATGACTTCATCCCATGTATATACCAAGGAGGCAACTGCATCAAATACAACTAACTCTAAAACCAACGTGAAAACTGCAGAATGGACTGCTTACACCTGGCAAAAAAGAGCAGACCACATTGGGAAAGATAAAGGGGCAGAGCAGCAATCTCTTGAGATCTAAGCCCCCATCACAGCCCACAAGCAGGAGGGAGAGGAACAGTGTGGGGAGCAGATAAATGCTTAGGTACCTGGCACACTTGGTCCTTGGGATCTGCTCTGGGAAGATGGGTCCCCACTGCCATGGGCTTTGAAGATCGGCAGGGATGGATACCAAGGAGAGATGGAGCACTATGGGGGACCAAGACTCTGGTTGCTTATGGAGGACCAGTATGCCCTGTCGACCCCTCTGAGATCCAAGGCAGAGGAAGCAGTTTGAAAGATTTGCTAGCCTTGAGAAGTGTGCCAGAGGGGCAGGAGTCTGAGGCTGTTGCCTCCAGAGAAGAGCAAACAGGTATCTGACACTTCTCCAGCCCTCCCTCAGCCCAACCAGATTCTTGCTGGTGTCAGCTCTGAAACTACACCTGCTCACTGGCTCAGCCCTGTCATTCCCCTATGGACTTGCCCTACGCAGCATATTCAACCCAGCAGTAATCAACAACTGCTGAGAGACAGGACTAGAGTAGCCCCACTCACAATACATCCCAGCAGAAATGACAGACATCACACAAAGGGCACAAGGAGGTTAGCAGTGGGGGTCCACCATTCCGGGCAGACAGGCAGAAAGGTGGGCCTTCTCCACAGCCCATAACTAAAGCCACAGCTCAGCCACAACAAAGACCTGGGTTCTGGTGAACATGAGGTTTGTGCTTCTGGGCATCACAGGACCCATAACACCACTATTTTCAAGACCAGGAGTCATAGCTGATCTATGTAATACAATGAAAAACAGAGACCCAAACAAAGTGAGGGAGTGGAGAAATATGTCCCAAAAAGAACAAGACAAAACACCACAGAAAGTGATAATGAAATAGAGATAAGCAATCTTCCTGATAAATAATTCAAAGGAACAGTCATAAAAATGCTCATTGAATTGGGGAAAAGAATTGACTATCTCAGCAAGAACTTCAACAGAGATGTATAAAAAAGTATAAAAAAGAGCCATTGAGAGCTGAAGAATACAATAACTGAGCAAGAGAGGGAATGAACAGCAGGCTACAGGCAGCAGAGGAACGGATCGGCAAGCTGGAAGATACGGTAGTGAAAAGCAGCCAAGCTGAGCAACAGAGAAAAAAGAATTTCTAATAATGAGAAGATGCTAAAAGAGTTCTGTGACAACTCTAGACAAAACAATACTTGCATAATAAGGGGTCCCAGAAGGAGAAGAAAGAGACGAGGGTTAGAAAGTCTACATGAAGAAATAACAGCTGAGAACTTCACCAATCCAGGAAAGGAAATAGATTTCCAGGTCATGGAGGTTCAGAAAGCCCCTAACAAGATGCACCCAAAGGTGTCTACACCAAAACACACAGTAATGTAAGGTGTAGGTTTGTTTTTTTTTTTTGCCATTTTACGGCTAAAACTAAAGTTAAAGAGAGACTCTTAAAAGCAGCAAGGGAAATGCAGACAGTTACTACAAGGGAAACTCCATAGGACTATTAGCAGACATCTCATCAAAAACTTTACCAGATGGGTATGGCATGAAATATTCGAAGTATTGAAAAGGAAGAACCTAACAACCAAGAACTCTCTACCTAGCAAGATTATCATTCAGAACTGAAGAGGAGATTTATAAGTTCTCTGGATAACCAAAGGTTAGAAGAATACATCACGACTAAACCAACCTTAAAGGACATGTTGCACGGACTTATTTAGATGGAAATATGTTAAGTTGAAATGCTTCTCATCAGTGACAATAAACCTACGGTAAATGTAGTAAATCATTAACAAAGCAAGCATGAAGCTCAAAAAACAAAAGTAGTAAAATCAACTATACACAAAACTAGTCAAAGGATATACAAAATAAAAAGACAGATTATGACATCATATACATAAATTGTGGAAGAATTAAATAGTACTTTTGTAATGTGCTTGAAATTAAGCAACCATCAATGTAATATACACTGTTTTATATATGGTAAATGTATATGAACCTAATACTAACTACAAACCTAAAACCTGTAATAGATACACATGCATAAAAAAAGAAAGGAATCCAATCATAACAATAAAGAAAATCGTCAAGTCACAAGGGAAAAGAGCAACAGAGGAAGAAAGAATAGAAACTAAAAAAAAAAACCAGAATACAACTAACAAAATTGGGCTAAGTACATACTTATCGATAATTTCTTCAAATTCAAATAGTCTAAAGGCACAAATCAAAAGACATAGGAAGGCTGAATGGATAAAGAAACAATATTCATCTATATGCTGCCTACAAGAGACTCATTTAGACATATAGATACATACATACTAAAAGTGAAGGGATAGAAAAAGATATTCCACACAAATAGAAGAGAGAAAAAAGCAGGAGTAGCAATACTTACATCAGACAAAACAGACTTCAGAATAAAGTAACAAGAGACAAAGAAGGACATTACACAGTGATAAAGGGATCAGTCCAAGAAGACATTAACAATTGTAAATATATATGCACCCAACACAGGAGCACCTAAATATATACGCAGACCCAAAGGGAGAAATTGACAGTAACACAGTAATAGTAGTAACTTTAACACACCACTTACATTAATGGATAGATCATCCAGACAGAAAATAAATAAGGAAACACTGACATTGAACAATATATTGAACCAGATGGACATAACATTCCATCCAAAAGCAGTAGAATACACATGCTTTTCAAGGTCACATGGACCATTTTTTCCCCAGAATAAAACACATATTAGGACACCTAACAAAGCCTCAGTAAATTCAAGAAGATTGAACATTTATTAAGCAACTTTTCAGACCACAATGGTATGAAATTAGAAATCAATTAAAAGAAAAAAATGGAAAAAACACAAACACATGGAGGCTAAACAATATCCTCCTACATAATCAATGGATTAACAAACAAATGGAGAAGGAAATCAAACAATAGAAAAGGAAATCAAACAATACATGGAGACAAATGAAAACAGAAACACAACAGATCAAAATATGTGGGATGCAGCAAAAGTGATTTTAAGAGGGAAGTATAGTGTACTAAAGGATTATGTCAACAAACAAGAACAAATTCAGTCTAACTTTACAACTAAAGAAACCAGAAAAAGAAACCCAAAGTTAGGAGAAGGAGGGACACAATAAAGATTAGAGCAGAAACAAATAAAAGACAAAAAAGAAGGAAAAAAAGCAGTGAAACCAAGATCTGGTTCTTCAAGAAGATAAACAAAACAGACGAACCCTTAGCCAGACTTATCAGGAGGAAGAGAGAGGGCACAAACGAATACGCAACAAAAAAGAGAAGATAGAAACAATGCCACACATAAGATAACAATGACAGAGGATTAAAGATGGCGGTATGAGGTGAGGCAGGGGCTTCCTCCTAAAACCACATATAATATGAAAATATAATTAATACAACTAATCATGAAAGAGCACCATGAAAGAGGACAGCGCTAGACTGCATACACCTGGAGAAAAGAGCGGACCTCAAGGAACAGGGTAAGTAACGTACCAAAGCTGTGGCCCGGCAGGACCCAAGCCCTCCCCCCACCCCAGCTCACTGGCAGGAGGAAGAGAAACTGAGCGGGGAGGGAGTGGAGGCCTGGGACTGCTGAACACCTGGCTCCAGAGATCTGCTCTGGGAGCACAGACCTACATTTCAAGGTGCTTTCATGATACTCTCATAACTAGGGGATTGGAAAGCTAAGACAGGCAGAATTCCTGGAGAGACGGAGATTCCAGCCGCTTGTGGAAAGCAGGGATCCATGTCCGGCTGCTCTGGGACAAAAGGCAGGCAGGCTGAGAGACTTCCTAACAAGGAAGCCCTTAGCAAGACGGCTGCTAAAGGGGCAAGGATTGCACAGAGCTCACTACTCAGGAGAAAGAACAGATAGACAAAATAGTCCGGGGGCACTCTGCCCAGCAGGCAGGGAGCTTTAATGATTTTCAGGTGCTCCAGCTCCCTGGCTGGCTACACAGCTCCAAGGATCCCCTCCGTGAT